ATATAGAGAGAGATTTATAAATATTTATAAATATGGAGAGAGAATCGTATTAAATATGAAGAATATTTCTAATTATGCTACGTAATAAGTTCAATTTCTGTAGAGTGAATCTCACAAAAATTTAAATTATTTATTGGTGTGAATAACCAAAAGATTTTTAAATACAATTTAATAAAATGAACCATGTATAAAATAGTAAAAATATTTATAATTTAACACATAAATATATGCATATTTTGTGTGTATTTGTATAACTGTCGTGGTGTAAAATTTTAATTGGACACGATTATTTATCAGCTAGCTTTATAAAGTCACGTATAATAACAAGTTGAAAATCTAAATTTCAGAAAATTATGCATAAAAACTGATATCTAATTTTTACTAAGTTGTTTGTAAGAATACTATAAAAAATTAGACTTCATCATTCCCAAAAGAAATTACTTGCCCACAACATAAATGGCACATAGTTTTAGAAATGTATAATTATTACATTTCTTAATTAATTAAATAACACTTTTACTTTAATAATAAAGAGATAAATATTTTCGATGAAAAAATATATAATTTTTTAAATAAACATTTATTTCAAGAAAAACTAACTAAAAATATATTGGTAAAAGAATTCATGAGGTAATATATACATTTTTATAAATAAATAATTAAAAGAGAGACAAAACAAATGTGGTCTTACACATGAATTTTTAAATTATTATTTTACCGATAATTCTATTTAATTTATTTCAATATTTCCAACTTTGTTATCTTTCTTTTTAGTACATAGTATTTATATACGACAAATAGAACAAATAAACTTACACAGTCTCTTTATTTTTGGTCAGATTTGAATCACTGACTTCATAAGAGGCCAAAGACTTACATACTGCTAAACCAAACATTTAGTCAACATTGTTATCTTCTTTTATTTATATACATGGTATAAAATAGGGAGGAAATCAAGTAAAAAATGCAATAAATGCTGAATTTAGGCAAGTTAATAAGTAAAAGTTCTGGAGGAGTTTATTATATAAGCAAGTGTTTGCTCAATCAGGAAAACATATCAATGCAAATAAAAACAAATAAAAAATAAAATAAAAATGGTCTCCTTCTTCCCATGGCTTCCATTGCTGCTCTCTCTCGCCGCTGCTGCTCACAATCACAAACCTCCATTTCCAAACACCTTCAATGTGTTGTCTTATGGTGCACTTCCAATTCCGGTCACCGATAACTCGAAGGTACGATTTCTTCTATAATTTCCCCCCAAAATATTCATCTCGTGATTCTTCTTCAATTCGATTTGGTTTTCATAATCAGGCGTTTCTTCGAGCATGGAAAGATGCATGTGAATGTGAGGGAGGTGGTAGGGTTTGGATCCCGAGAGGAACGTATCTTCTTGGCTCCGTCGTCTTCATCGGACCGTGCAAGGGACCTGTAGAATTTGTTATTAAAGGATCGCTAGTAGCTTCCAGTGATCGCTCCAAGTTGTTTGTCGATCACTGGATTGGTTTCTTGTACGTCGACCGGTTGGTGGTGAGAGGTGGTGGTCATCTGCTTGGTCAAGGTGGCGCTGCGTGGCGGTACAACGACTGCGCCACCAATCCCCGTTGCAGACCTCTTCCCGTCGTAAGTCCACTGTTTTTCTTATATATTTATTAAATTAAAATCATAATCATTAAAATTAAAAAATGGAATTCCAAAAGCGTATGTCGATATTAAAATTTTACTTTAATTGATATAATAAATATGGAAAAATTGTAACGGATCATGATAATGATTATGGAAATTTGATCGTTTTGATATTTTATTTTATTAAAATCGTATTTTTTTTTTAAAGAAAATTACGCCCTTTACATTTTTTTGGTCTTGCTTTTTGGATATAAAAATTATATTTGAGTTTGTGTTTGTGTGTGTTTTGTTTTTGGATTAAAAACAGACGATGCGGTTTGATTTTGTTACGAATTCGAAGATAAGCCGGATCCGATCGATCGACAGCAAAAACGCTCATTTCAATCTATTTGCGTGCCAAAACGTGAACATGAGCCGCATTCAGATAGATGCCCCGGCATGGAGCCCAAATACCGATGGCATTCGTATAGGGGCCTCGAGCAACATCACTATCGAAAACAGTATAATAAGCACCGGTGACGATTGCGTTTCGATGATTGCGGGTAGCGAGGACATTATGATCTCAGGCGTCCATTGTGGGCCTGGGCATGGTTTTAGCATTGGTAGCCTTGGTGGGTCCGACAATGAAGAACATGTGTCTCGTATAATTATACGAAATTCGACATTACGAGAGACTCAAAACGGCTTGAGGATCAAAACATGGGCTCCCTCACCGCCTAGCTTGGCTTCGGATATTACATTCGAGGACATCGTTATGGAAAACGTCAATAACCCCATTTTTATCGACCAACAATACTGCCCACAACCTCCTTGCAACGAAAAGGTAACTTCTTGTTTTTATGACAAAATCGATGTTTTTTAATCAATCAGTAACATTTTTGTTTGTTTCTTTTCAGGCTCAGTCAAACGTTCAAATAAGGAATGTTACATTCCAAAAAGTACATGGGACATCGAGTTCTAAGGTTGCTGTTAAAATACAGTGTAGTAAACACGTGCCTTGTGAAGATGTTAAACTCGTGAATATTAACTTAGAGTACCGTGGATCGGAGGGACCCGCTGCTTCATCTTGCTTCAACGTTAAAGGAAAGTCGTACGGCCTACAACTTCCGTCGGGGTGTCTATAGCACATCAACGTTAACTTTTGTTTCCTAATATAACCTGAGAACGTTTTTTTCTTTTCTTCCGGGTTGTTTGTATAAATGGAAGGTCGAAGAACTTTGTAATCGGATATCCATCGTTTGAATCCTTGATCTTGATCAAGTTTAGTGTTTCGTTGCAAAATATGTTTTTACAGAAATGAATGGAAATTATGTAATTATGTTGGTATAATAATTATGTTGATGGAGGTTCAAACGTGAACAATGTCCAAATAAGATAACATGAAAATGACAGTAAAATCACATGTGATATTACACTAACAATCAATGCAAAAGTGTTGGGGAGACGTTGCCCACAACCTCAAGTCGTAGCCAAAAATGTATGAATTACATATGATTTTGCAACTCCTTTGAACCCATATACTATTTTCAGAGCTCATATGCCCAACACTTGTGATGTTTCTCAAACGTCATTAAGTCAGACTCACCTTCTTACATTGTTTCAGGGACATCACCATTTGCAATTCTTTGGGCAAGGCCTTCTACAATGGTCGTCTTCAACCATGATACAGGTTTTTTAAAATGCAGATAACTTTTGGGAACATTGATTGAGGTTAGAATTGTGTATAGACTTTAAAGAACCACCCATTAAATTCAATAAAAATGAATTTCAAAGATTTCTCTAGAAAAGCAAGAACCTTGAGTTTGTCAGGCATGTGGTCTCCATTTTCCATTGACCCAATCAGATAAAACATCCCACTGAAATATGGTTGGTTCAAAGCAGCTATAACTTGAAAACAAACCTACAAACTTTTCATGGTTAGTTCAAGAACTCCATGCTTATACTTCATGCCAAGACTACAAGGAAAAACAAGGAACTAAGATCATGCAAAGGTTATCGTGAATACTATTTGACCGATAGACCTTTTGGAGATTGGCAATTCGACATATTACTTGAGCCATGCATAAAACTGAAAGACATCACTCCAGTGCCAATAAAGTTAAAAACTATAGCCAATCAATCGCCTGCTTCTAAGAAATCTGTGATAACCAGATCCTGGTTATTACCTAAGGTATTTAATACGCGATTATTTTATTAATTGATTGTGTGATAGCATGATAAACTGATATGTTTGCTACATGCTGGTATGCGAATTTGTGCATTTATTTGGATAAAGGTATATAAATATATATATTTTTATATGTATATATATATTTATATATGCATAAATATAGAAGAATATATCTATATTTTATGCATGGAATATGCATGTTAGTTTATACATGGATGTATGTATATGCATATTTTATGCATGAGGTGGAGGTGGGTTTGGAAGGCGGTTAGCCGACTTCCTATTTTTAGTAAGTATAAAAGGGGCTTTACTCCTTCAATTGTTCTTTCCCTGCTATTTTGAGAGAAATTTGAGAGGTTTAAAGAAGTGTTGTCCGGTTTGCAAAAAGGAGGTGATTTCAAGTTGATTTCAAGTGTCCAGTTTAAAAAGGGATCAATCTCTAGCATTTTTGTTTCAAAAGCTTTATAAGGTGTGTGGTTTCTAAACCTTTTTGTATAAAAATTCTACTGGTTTTATTTGCATGCTTCGTATTGTTATTCTTTGGAAAGAAATCTTGATTATTTTGTCTAAGTCTTAAACCTGACAAAGCTTGAGAGGTTTATTGTTCAGATTAGTCTTAAACCTGACAAAGTTTGAGAGGTTTATTGTCCGGATTAGCCTTAAACCTGACAAAGCTTGAGAGGTTTATTGTCCGGATTAGTCTTAAACCTGACAAAGCTTGAGAGGTTTATTGTCCGGATTAGTCTTAAACCTGACAAAGCTTGAGAGGTTTATTCTCCGGATTAGTCTTAAACCTGACAAA